ATTGCACCCTGACTGGTTCGTCTCCTCCCCAAGACCCTTCTGTAAGGGGTGAAATCTTAAAACCTTAACATAGTTTAACTAGTAGTCCACTCTTACCCTAGATGAAGGTTGTGAATAACCTGGCTATCATTCACAGTGCATTGGAAAAGTGAGTTATTGCAGATGCACTTAGGTAAAATTTTAACGCCTTACCATTTGATGTTCCTCTTGATCCATTTCAAAGTTCTAATTTTTAATAGTTTCTGCTTTCTTTTTGATTGCAGTTTTTTCTGTTTTATTTTGTTATTTTTGTTTTGTTTTCCTGTATATGAAATCCAGGATAGGTAAATTCCTAGAGACAATAGCTGGATTAATGGCTCCCTGAGTGTATGGCAGAGGATGTTGGGGGCAGGGGGGAGCTATTAACAATGAGTACAAGAAAGAAGAAAATGTCCTAAAATTGCTTATGGTGATGATTGTAAAACTTTCTTCTATATGATCGAACTATTGAATCATATGTGAGTTATATGTCAAAGTTGATCTCAGGGCAACAATTTCAAGGGTTAATCCACCCCCTCCCACCCATGGCTCCAAAGCATTATGCCCTGTGGGTAGTTTTACTGTCACATAGGGTCACTGTGAAGGGCAATGGGTTATCACTATTTCACTAGTGAGGAAAGGGCTCAGGGAACCCAAGTACTTTATGTAAATGAGCTGGGAGTTGTGATTGCTACTCCAAGGCTTTTCCCATCACACTCCCTCCCCAGAGAAAGAACTCCAGAGACCCAGGAGAATGAGTGTAGTCCTTTGCCATTGGTATCATTAGCATGTTTGTGTGGAACCAAATTGTCTAGATCAGTGGTTCTCAACCTTCCTAATGCCGCGACCCTTTAATACAGTTCCTCGTTGTGGTGAGGCCCCAACCATAACATTCTTTTCTTTTTTTTAATTTTTTTTTATAAATAATCATTTTATTAGGGGCTCATACAACTCATCACAATCCATAACATTATTTTCATTGCTACTTCTTAACTGTAATTTTGCTGCTGTTATGAATTGGGTGACCCCTGTGAAAGGGTCATTCGACCCCCAAAAGGGGTTGAGACCCACGGGTTGAGAATCACTGGTCTAGATCCAGAGCCCATGATGTGCATGTTTGGGTTGATCCAGGGGACACTCAAACTCAACTGATGACCCCTATCAGGCAGGGTAGATCTACCCCTTTGGATTTACAAAGTCATAAATCTTTACAGGAGCATAAAGCCTGAGGAGCGACTGGTGGGTTCAAACTGCTGACCTGTGGTTAGCAGCTCAACAGATAACCCACTATCACCAAGGCTCCTTGTCCTGGGGGAAAGGAGTATATATATATACTAACCACAGGGGTGTTTGGGTCACAGGATTTGGGAAAACAAGATCTCTCAAAATAACTTTTTTTTTTCCCTCTATAAAGTTTTAAAATTGTGTTATTGCTGTTGCACGCATTCACTTCTTTAGTATTGCTTTAGACCTACTACTCTGTGGGAGCCCCTGAAAGCAGATGTCTATATAGTGAGGAAGCAGCTTTGTTGGACAAATATGTCATGTACCAAAGTATATTGGTTGCTAACTCCAGACATGTCACTGTTGCCAAGAAGCCGGTTGATTTAGAATCCATTAGACATTTAATTGAAAAACATTGGGGTCCAAAAAATTTACATTTCAAAGGAAATTAGTAAAAAAGAAAGGTTCAGAATTCTATACCGATCCAAGTCCATTGATTATAACTAGACTGTTTTGTTTCACTTGAAGTGTGACAGGCCAGAAAGAAAAGTAATGTTTTATGTATTATGGATTTAAAAAAAAATCATTTTATTGGGGGCTCATACAACTCTTATCACAATCCATACATAAATCAATTGTGTAAAGCACATCTGTACATTCGTTGCCCTCATCGTTCTCAAAACATTTGCTCTCCACCCAAGCCCCTGGCATCAACTCCTCATTTTTTCTCCCTCCCTCCCCACTCCCCCCTTCCCTCATGAACCCTTGATAATTTATAAATTATTATTTTGTCATATCTTACACTGTCCGACATCTCCCTTTACCTGCTTCTCTGTTGTCCGTCCCCCAGGAAGGAGGTCACAGGTAGATCCTTGTAATCAGCTTCCCCTTTCCACCCCACCCTCCCTCCACCCTCCGGTATCGCCACTCACACCACTGGTCCTGAAGGGATCATCTGCCCTGGATTCCCTGTGTTTCCAGTTCCTATCTGTACCAGTGTACATTCTCTGGTCTAGCCAGATTTATAAGGTAGAATTGGGATCATGATAGTGGGCGGGGAGGAAGCATTTAGGAGCTAGAGGAAAGTTGTGTTTCATCGTTGCTACACTGCACTCTACTGGCTCCTCTCCTCCCCGCCACCTTTCCTTAGGGGATGTCCAGTTGCCTAACAATGGGCTTTGGGTCTCCACTCTGCAGTCCCCCTCATTCACAATGATAGGATTTTTTTGTTCTTTGATACCTGATACCACATCCCTTTGACATCTCATGATCACACAGGCTGGTGTGCTTCTTCCATGTGGGCTTTGTTGCTTCTGAGCTAGATAGCCACTTGTTTACCTTCAAGTCTTTTAAGACCCCAGACGCTATATCTTTTGATAGCCGGACACGATCAGCTTTCTTCACCACATTTGCTTATGTACTCGCTTTGTCTTCAGCTGTTGTGTCAGGAAGGTGAGCGTCATGGAATGCCAATTTCATAGAACAAAGTATTCTTGGATTGAGGGAGTACTTGAGTGGAGGCCTAATGCCCATCTGCTACCTTAATACTAAATCTATAAATATATGCACATAGATCTATTTCCCCATCCTCCTATATAAATATATTTACATATGCACATGCCTTTATTTAGACCTCTATAAATGCCCTTTGCCTCCTAGCTCTTTCCTCTACTTCCTTTTACTTTCCTCTTGTCCCACTATCATGCTCAGCCTTCATTTGGGTTTCAGTAATTCCTCTTGGTTACATTACCCTTGATCATGCCCAGTCAGACCTCCCACACCCTCCTCACCACTGATTTGAATCACTTGTTTTTCGCTTGTCCCTGGGTTTGTTAACACCACTTCCTTTCCCCCCACCTCCCTCTCTCCCATGTCACCCCGGAACCATTGGTCCTGTTGTTTTCTCCTCCAAATTGTTCATCTAGCTTAATTTAGACAGTCTAATTTAGACAGACCTGCGGAGATAGTAACATGCACAAAAACAAGACAGCAAAACAAAGCAACAAAAGAAAACAACAACAAAAATAAAAAGCCAATGAAAAAAGAAAAGAAAAGCCTGTAGTTGGTTCAAGGATTGTTTGTTGGCTTTAGGAGTGTTTTCCAGTTGAGTCTGATTGGGTGCCATGCCCTGGCCCCAAAGTCTATTTTTGGTCTTCTTTGGGAACTTCATTGCTCTGTTTCTGTTACACGCTCTTAGTCTTTTGCTTTGGTGTGGTGGCATCAGATCGGGCGGAATTCCCACACAGTGTCTCCAGTGTTGTCCCCTCTAGGGCTACAGGTCGGTGAGGGATGTTGTGTCTTATAGTGGTATTATGGATATTTATAAGTCAGAATTTTCATATTTAAAACTTAGGGTTTTCTTAGATTGGCAGTAATCTCAAATACCAACTAAATTGTTTCTTTTTTCCCTTCTCTAGATGTACTAATGCTTTGCAGCAGCTTTCTAAGTCAGCACTTTCCTGTGTCTGTAGATCACAGAACTGGCCAAGGCATGGAGGAGTCTACGAACAATCATCTGAATGAGACAAGTCTTGAGAATAATGACCGTCTCCAAAACACCGGGCCTCAGATTTCTGTCAGTGAGTTTTCATGCCACTGCTGTTACGACATCCTGGTTAACCCTACCACCTTGAACTGTGGGCATAGCTTCTGCCGGCATTGCCTGGCATTATGGTGGGTGTCTTCCAAGAAAACAGAGTGCCCAGAATGCAGAGAAAAATGGGAAGGCTTCCCCAAAGTCAATATCCTCCTCAGGTAACGGTTAGCTGTCTCAGTAGTGCGTAGAGCTTATTTGGCATTGTTTCTCTTAGCAGGTTTGAAAAGATTGGAGTGTAATGTGGGGAGCTCAAGGATTTGAAAATTCAGAGCCCCTTCCTCATAGGCCACTGTGATTGGTTTGTTTCTTTTTTAATTCTAAATGAAGGAAAGAAATTCTGGTTCTCAGAATACTGTTTATGTATGACACCTTTTTACTGATCTGTGTTCACTGATAATATCCTATATCTAAGAGAAAATTGTATAGCTGTGTAATTCTGAACTGCTGTTTTGGGGGGTTGGGTTTTTTGTTTGTTTGTTTTACGCTGGTCTTTGCATTTGGCCCTGGTGGTGTGGTGGTTACGTGTTAGGCTGCAGTCTACACAGTTGGCGGTTTAAAACCAATAGCAGCTCCAAGGGGGCAGACTGGGCATTCTGCTCCTGAAACAGAAGTCTCAGAAACACACCGCGGGCTGCTGTGTCAGCACGGACTCAAAGGGAGTGAATGAGTTTTACGACAATTCTCATAATGGTTTAAATATATTAAAAGAATTGTACAATTATCACCACAATCTATTTTAAAACCTTATCTCCATTCTTGTACTAATTATTACTAGGTCCCCATTTCACTGCAACCTCCCTTGCCATAACTCTAAGAAACAATCCATTACTGTCTATAGATTTACCTATCCTGGAACTCACATAAAGACATACAGCCGCCCCCCTCCCCCCCACCATAAAAGACCTTAATTCAAAAGATGCAGGAAATAATTAAAACTACAACAAATTTAAAATGAGTCAAAATGGAGAACAAAGGACAAAGTCCTAAACTTTAACCTAACTACGTCAGCTTTAATTCACTTTCCAATACATTCTAATAGTAAGCCTATTCACATCACTGGTCAAAGGTCAGAATTCTCTAGAGGCTGAATCCACATGGGGATGGCTGCCAATGGATTTGGGCTTCACTGTCATCCATAGCCTTCTGCAAACCAGATGCTTAGAAATTAAGCTCTAATACCCTTTCTTCCTCTGGTCTTGGATTTTATCATTTACGGGTCCTTGGATCACCAGGCTTATCTGCATTTTTCCTGTGTGAATTTGGCACTTACATGACTGCTTCTTTTAAGATAAGCGTTTAAGACACAAAACACTTCTTCCTGATAACTGGGCACCATCTGATTTCTTCACAGTTTATTGTAACACTCACCCATATGTCTTCAGTGATCTCTCTTTTTCTTTTTAGCAGTTTTATTAGCACTTCATCCACATTATACAATTCAGTCATATGGAGAAAAATTGTGCAATTATCACTAGTCAATTCTAGAACATTTATTCTTCCTCGTAGTCATTGTTATTCATGTAATTACTTCTTTTCTAATTGTAGCAAAAATACACACAACAAAGCATTCTCTAATTCCACAATTTCTACATTTATTTTCAGGGCCACTGATTATACTGTGCATGATGTACAACCATTATTGATATCCTGTTACAAATTATTCCACCAGCATTAACAAACTCTGCGCCCCCTAAGCAACAACTCTATCTCCTTCACCCATAGTAACCACTGGTCAAGTTTGGTTTCTTTCTCGTTTTTTTAATAGTTTCCTTGAGAAAGTATTCACATATCATACACTTCCATCGTTAAATCACTTTTAAAATGAGTTGTATATACATCATCATAATCCATCCGAGTGCTCCCTCTCCCCTCCCGCATTCACTGTTTGTTGGAGTTAAGGTAAAACTTTCAATAACACTCATTTCTAAGGTAGAACTATGCTGTTGGACGAATACATGTTATAATAAGGCAAAGGGTATGATAATAGCAATTATATGCCAATTACTGGGCACCCTCACAGCAAGTGATTTGAACCACAGCCCATTGATTTCCAGCCCCATAACCTTGGGGTTTTAGTCACCTGCTTCTCACATTAGAGCCCTGGAGTCTTACATTCAGGAGAGTATTTCAGTCCCTTTAATCTGCTACATGTGTGTGTTTAAGTGAAAGTCTGGGTAACTTAGTCAGGTTTCTACATCACATCTTCTCATGCGACCTATGAAGGATATGGTGCACTTTGAAAGGACAAAGACTAAAGGCCTGGTTGTCTAGAGCATGCAGTCTGGGTCTCTAAGGATTGGACAGAAATTTGGTCAAAAGTGTCTGATTAGGAACATAATGCAGGGCGTATTCTCCCATGGAGAGTCTGTATAAGTAATGCTAACTGTTTTTCCTAATATCGGGTCAGTTTACCCATCGTCAGAAGTGAAATCTCCCCCTAGGAGACAGAAATCAACCTGCCCCTCTCCCCACCTCTGGATTAGAATATCCATTAAGGTTCACTGAGCATCCTTGTAAAAATATTTCCGAACTACTGACAAATGCTTTGATGCTGATCTTTAAAGCTTGGATAAACTCTGTCCCAGTGATCACATGAAAAGTGATAGTTTCTCATGTGTAACATCCTGCAGTCCTTGGCAAGGCCTCTTATAGTAGCAGGGATTTTTTGCTTCCATATGGTCACAAGGTCCTGTGAGATCATGGACTCGGAGGGCCTTGTCTTCATTTCTATTGCCTAACCAATGTATTTTGTCTTCTTACCTACCTTCTTACCTATCAAAACTTCCATGAAACCAATAACGCAGATTTTTTTCCCTACAGTAGCTGTGTTTGTTTACAAACATTTTGCACTTACTCATTAGCATTGCTTCACCATAATTGCAGGAGGGTAATTTGTATATAGTTGAAAGAGAAAGCAGTCCTACTTTTTTGTTAGTATGGCATAATAGTCAGTCTTTCTTTTACTCTTGAGCTTAACTTTTAAAAAAATTATTTTTAATAAGCAACACATATATATACCTTTATAACATTCCTTCTTAAGAAGGAACATTACTAATGAAGCTAATGGACCCTCTGACCCCTCCTCTCCAGCTTAGAACCGTTTCTTTTCCCTAGAGCAGTTTTTTAATTTTTTGTTGTGAATTGGGTGAGGGTTTAGTGAGTAGATCGGTTTTCCACTCAGCAGGTCAGACACATACCCCAGAACAATTTTAGCTGTGACTTCGTTATGATATCTTTCAGAATTTTAATAATTCCCTTAGACTTATATGTGTGCCAATACAAAATGTAAGCACTACCAGGGGGCTTCCAGAGTTTATAGGAAATTTCCATGACTTTTTAAATCCATTTTCCCACAGATTCTAAAGCTCCCTCATATTTTCTCAGGTCAGTTGGGATACTGTCAGTATGTTTTTTCCTACAGTTTACCATTTCCACTCAAAATTATGTATACCTTTAGGTTTGTGCATCTTGATGCATCATGATCCAGTGAATTCAATTTTTAATTTATGTAGCATTACATTGTCAGGACAAACTTTATGTATTCCTCTTTTCATTACTAGTAGCCCTATAAGCTGTTTTTAAGTTTTTTGCTGGGTATCAACAGGATACTATTATTTTAGCCAGTCTTAAAATTATACTTGTATGTTACTGAACTCTAACCTTTTTATTTCCATCTCTAAACGTATGAAAGCTATGCAGTCACTTATGTTGTGATTTTGTTTTTCGCAGGGATGCAACTGAAAAGTTATTTCCTGACGCCATTAGGAGGAGATTTGAAGACATTCAGCAGAATAACGATATCGTCCAGAGTCTCTCCGCGTTTCAAAAGTATGGGAGCGATCAGATTCCCATGACTCCCACTGCGGGCCGAGTGAATCAACAGAGAGGAGGGGGGTTCTTTTCTGGAGTGCTCACAGCATTGACTGGGGTGGCAGTAAGTTTATTTTTGTTCACGTGTTTCATTCAAACATACACATGATTGCCACTGAGGTTAGTTCTGTTGAGACGCACCTCGACAACTGATGACATGACTGCATATGACAATTCCCTTAGCACATTGAAATCTGCTGTGCTGAAAGATTTCTTCAGGAATGTCACTTCCTTAAATAGCCAACAAATAAGTAGAGCCAATGCATGCTAGCTTTTTCCCATTTGGTCTTTTTATATCTTAGGTGGCAATGAGGGACCATTACCTCTCCAATGTAATTTTTTCAGGGGGTTGTGAGTCGAGTCCGACTCACAGTGGCCCATGGTGTGCAGAATAGAACTTCCCCACGGGTTCTTTTAAAGTTAGGATCCTTCTGAAGCAGATCATCAGGCCTGTCTCCTGAGACACCTCTGGGTAGATTCAAACTGCCAGCCCTTCTGCTAATACACAAGCACTGATTTGTTTGTGTCACCCAGGAACTCATCAATTTTATTCCTATTTCAGATGACAAACTGAGGTACAGACAAGTGGTGGAACTGAAATGGTGACTCTTTTCAGGCCCAGGTGATACATTTGGGCTCTCCAATGTAGAGATTGTTTAACATGACACACAATCTAAATGTTAGCCATGATCTCAGCAAGAAAGGCGTGTAAGTCAGTGGCATTGACCAACTTGGTGGGATCGGTAGGCGCAGTTGTTCCCAGGCACCCTGCCATAAATGTTGTCCTGTCTCTGTCTCTCTTGCCCCGCACTGCACCCCAGAGTGTTTCCCAGTGCTCCTGTGGCAGTGGCGCCACCTGCACCCATGTCTAGAAATGGCAGCATTCCCCTCAAGTGCACCCTCCCCTCCCCAGCCCTGCACTGCTGTCTGTGGCTGAAGACTCCTGTCCTTCCCCAGGTGGTTCTGCTGGTGTACCACTGGAGCAGCAGGGAGTCAGAGCATGACCTTCTGGTGCACAAGGCTGTGGCCAAGTGGACAGCAGAAGAAGTCATCCTCTGGCTGGAGCAACTGGGCCCATGGGCCTCTCTCTACAGAGACAGGTTTCTATCTGAGAGAGTAAATGGAAGGTGAGGAGCAAACTTGTGTGATACCATGTCATGGGCCTTTTTAAAAAACGACTTTATTGAAATTTAGTTGACATACCATCAGCCCATTCAAAGTACACAGTTCATTGGTTTTTTGTGTGTACATCTTTTTTTAATATACATTGAAAGCTGTGGTGTCATTTTTCCAATGTGTGATCACTTCCTGTCTGTATAACATTTTGGTCATTCTTGCGTGATTTCAGATTCTTTCATCACATGATTGTGTACTATTGACTCTAGTCTAATGTGATCTGGAACTTGTCTGTATTTACGTAGTTTGGCAATTGTTAACCAGTCTAGTGCTGGAATATTTCCATCACCCCAAAAAGGAAGTGTATACCCTTTAGCAGACATTCCTCCTTTTTCTCCCTTTACTTTCTGTCTATTTGGATTTGCTTATTCTGGCCATTTGCCCTGTTCCGGACTACATCCTACTGGCACAGTGGTTACGCCTTGAGCTGTGATCCGCATGTTCGGCAGTTCAAAATCACCACCAGCTCCTTGGGAGTTGCTGCCTGAGGGGGTCACTGTGAATCAGCATTGCAGGATGACAGTGAGTCTTTGGTGTGGACATTTGCATAATGGAATCATTCACCTTGTGGCCTGTTGTATCTGGCGGCTTTCACTCAGCATCGTGATTTCCAAGTTAATCTGTGTACTAGTTCACTATTTTATTCCTCCTCTCTTTTTTTAAGTTTGATTGCCATATAACTCACACATGATACAATTCAGTAGTTCAGTCATAGTAAGAAGAAGTGTACAATCATCACCATAATCAAATTTAAAAATTTTTCTTCTTTCTTGTACTCACTGTTATTAGTCATTCCTCCTTATGGCTGAATAATATGCCTGTATGTGGATGCATCAAGTTCTATTCATCTATTGTCAGTGGATAGACATGTAGTTGATTCCACTTTTTTTGAGGTGCACCTTTCTGAATAGTCATCTAAAGTTGTTTGTTTGGTTTTTGGGGTAAGCATACCTTTTCGTGGAAATCACAGGGCAGATGGGAACTCTAGGCCTGGTTTTTGGAGGAACTTCCATACTTTTCCAAAGTGGCTACACCATTTTCCTGTCATTGGCATTTTACTTTATTGTTAGTGTTGTTTCCTGGTTAGAAAAATAACATACCATTGTTAGAAAAGAGAAATTAGAATGCAGAACTATCGTTTAATACCAAAAGTAAGATAGCTTTGAAATGACACTTTTCAGAGAAAGTCAATGTTATGTCATCTAGCTGGTGTCAGGAACTCACAACACCATCTACAGCTCGCTGTGCAGGCTGAGTTGAAAGTATTAAAGCTGGGCAGCATGTCCTGAGCAAGTAAATGAATGACAACTTGGGGATTATTACATAGAATTTCATCAGCAAGACTTTCTCAGGGATGCTACATTGGAGGAATTGTCTCAGATAGCCTTTCCTTTCATCATCAAATGTCCCCCACCTCAGGGAGGGACTGGGCAGCACAGTGGATCTGAAGGAGCAGACAGACAATATAATTCTGCCTACTTTTTAAACATTACCAGCATCACATTCCCTTTTGCTTGGGTTACTTTGTTTGCTTGTATTTCAAACATAAGGCCTTATGTTAGTCTGGGTACATCAGAGAAACAAATCCCTAGAAAATCATATGTATATAAGAGAGGGGTTTATATAGAGGGTAAGTATACATTAAGAAAGCATCCCGACCCAGTGCTGTCCAAGCCCATAAGCCCAACATTAGCCCATATGTCCAACACCAATCCACAAAGTCCTCCTCAAACTCACAAAACACACACAATGATGCCAACTGCAGGAGGCAAGCCGAATCAATGAGCATGTAAGCATCTCAGCACTGGCATGGGTCTCCACACGGCTGCTCCAGCACCCAGGGCTGCATCAGGGTAGGTCCATGTGGCTTCTCCTTGGGGATGTCCTGCAGGAAGTGAGCCTTGCCAGCTGAAGCAGGAAACTGGCTAAGGCAGCTGCACTCTGGTCTGACCATCAGAGAGCAAGAGACCTGAGAACTAGAAAGGCGAGGCTCACTGAGCCATTTATCCCTCTCCCCTTCAATTAACCCCACATGCATTTATCGGCTAGGTTGGCACAATAAACATTGATTACCTCAGGCCTTTATTCTATGTGATCCAGAAATGTCCTGCCTGACAGGATTCATCCTACTAGACAAAACTCATCCTACTTACCGTGGCCCAAGTTGTGACAGACACAATTCTCTACCTTGTTATTACAATAGACTTGTGCTCTTTTTGCTTCTGTAGGACAAATTATTAGAACTGGAGTTGTTGGGTCCAAGATTATAATCCATATAAACTTAATTGCATTTTTCCATGAACTTATTGAAGCTCTCTTATATTACCAAAGTACTCACAGAGAGACCGCTCGTTTACACTTCTAGAGTACTGAACAGGCCTGTTCCACTTGCTTCCACCAGCCTATTGTTGTCGTTACCAAGTGTCATTGAGTCACTTCTGACTCCCAGCAAGCCCGCGCACAACAGAGTGAAACACTGTCTGTTCCTGGCCATCCCCACCATTGTTTCTATGCCTGAGTCCATTGCTGCAGCCACTGCGTCAGTCCGTCTCACTGAGGATCTCACTTTTCGCTGCCCCTCTAGCAAGCATGCTGTCCTTCTCCAGAAACTGGTCTCTCCTAAGACAACATGTCCAAAGTACATGGGAGGAAGTTTCACCAACCTTGCTCTCAGGAGCACTCTCTCTCCAAAACAGATTTGTTTGTCCTTTTGGCAGTCCATGGTCCTGTTTTGTTTTTAAAGTTTGACTGGCACTTCATAAGTTGTACAGTTCAATAATTCAACCATATTGAGAAGAGTTGTGCAATCATCACAATCAATTTTATAACATTTTCTTTTATGCATTGTTATTGTAATTTTTTAAATTGTGGTAAAAATATACACAACAGAACATTCTCCAGTTCCATAACTTTATCTGTACAATTCAGTGCTTTTGATTATATTATACTCTTTGTGTTGTACAACCAATATTGATATCCTTTTTCAAATTATTCCACATTGTTAACAAACTCGTCCCCAAAATGAGTATAATGCCACCCCTGCAGAATTGTTAAATAGAGGAGTGATAATTTGCAAAAAATATTTTCAGATAGTTACTGGCAGATAATGTTCAATTATTGGATGTTATTATTCATATATTGAGCAACTTGTCTTACTTCAAGCCTATGATACTTGCGTTAATAAGATGAAAGTGTGAGTGTGGACTGGTTGCTTCTGGTGTACTCAAATGAGGACTCTTTCCTCCCACAGATTGCTTTTAACGCTGACAGAGGAAGAGTTTTCAAGGGCGCCATATACCATAGAAAATAGCAGCCACAGAAGAGCCATCCTCATGGAACTGGAGCGCGTCAAAGCACTAGGGGTGAAGCCCCCCCAGAATCTCTGGGAATATAAGGTCAACTTTTTTTTTTTACTTGAAAACGCAAAGTCATCTGCATCCGCACTGCTTATGTCAGAAAGAAAACCATGTAGCCTCCTCTTCAGAGGTGCTGCGCTCCTGAAGTGGGTGCTGAATGTGTGCATTGAGTATGTGTGCACAACAAAAGGAGCCGTAGTAGTGCAAATAGCTAAGTCTTGGCTACTAGCCCAAAGGTTGAGGGTAACAGGCCGCACAGGAGAAAGACCTGGTGACATGTGAAGATTACGGCACAGAAACTCCTCTGGGGCAGGTTCGCTCTGGCACCTGGGCTCGCTGTAGGTTGAGAACAACTCAGCGGCATCTAACAGCACAACTTCCTCAAGTAGGAAGCAAAAACAGCAGATCCTCTCAAGGAGTGTGTTGGGCAGGGTTCTCTAGAGAAATAAAACCGGACACTTGGGATTTTATATAGGTTTATATAGTAAAAAGGAATATGACAAATACTTAGTCCACAGCAGTATATAGGGCTCAGTTCAACTCACTTTCCTGGAACAGTTAATATACTGAAAGTCCTTCAACTCACACAGGCTGCTGGACCAAGGTCAAGGAAGCAGACAGTGGAAAGCAGGCAGACAGGGAGAGTGGGCCTGCAGGCACAACAATCAGTAATGCAGGGAGCATGGCGCAGCCGGCCCCAATGGGGTCTCAATCTCTAGCGATCAGCCCACAGGTAGTGCAGCACACTGGTCTGTTCACCAGGGAGAAAGAGATGGATACCGGCCTTGGAAAGCATTTCTCTCAGTGGCGGCTACCTCATTAAACTCCATTCCCGTGTTCCTATGGAGGCCTATTTGGCATAATAAACCTAAGTACAGGAGTTTGTGCAGTCGCTCATTTTCTCCTGTGCGATACCCACCGCACATACACTCGGCAGTTTCTGCCTTCTGTACATGAAAGTGAACCTGGGTGGCTCAGCAAGGGCATATGCTGTATTAGCAACTAAGAAATAAATCATTTCAACATTTTTAAAAAGTGAGCGTGGGAAGAAAAAAAAAGTGTGGAGCTTTAGAGTCAGGTTTGTTTTTAGTTTTCATAGTGTTTGTTTTGTTTTTAGCATTTATTGTGATTTGAATGAAAGTTTATAGAACAAATTGGTTTTCCGTTCAACCATTCATATACACTGTTTTATGAGATTATCCATTACAAATCCCACTTCTTCCCAATGTTCCCTATTTCAATTTGTCATTCTTTTCCTCTCTCTTCTTGCCTGCTAAGCTTTATGCCTGGGCACAAGCTCGTATTCGGTATTACTGCTCACCCTATAGGCCCTTTGGTTGGACTGAAAGTTAAGCTACAGTGGTAAGTTCTGTTCCAGGCCTAAAGAATAACCGAGAACCATAGTCCTCGGGGCGCTGCCAGTCTCTGGTCTTTTCTAAAATTTTGAGTTTCATTTCACATTTTTCTTCTACTCTATGCAGGACCCTCTGTTGCGACCTCTTTTAAGTTGTGGTAGGTAGACAGCATCGGGTTTTTCGGTCTCAGTTGAGCTGGTGGATTACACGGTCCACTCACCACACTCACCACGAGGCAGATTGTCCCTGCTGCTTTGATTGTCTAGACTCTCCTTTCTTCTGCACAGGGAGCGACCGAGAGATGTCCGTAGAAGTCACTATCAGTAAAGTAGGATGTAGAATAATGTCTTTGTCTTTGTGAACTACGTTATGCCAGTTGACCTCGCTTTCCAGTTCCCTAAGCTTCAGTCTGCACACCCAGTGACCCCATTCTCTCAAGGTGTTTGCTTATGGCTAAGAAATTTGTATGCCATTTCTTCCTCCTGGCTCTATTATAAAACCATATAGCATCCTCTTTCAGCTTATATTAATCTTAGGTTGGCTTTTAATGTCTAGAAAAGCATTGTTGGGTCTGAGATCCATCAATGACCCAGTGTAAAACACAAAAGTGATCCGAGCCAACGGGACTGTGACGATTGTTTAAAGAACAGACTCATGTCATTGTCATGCTCCTTAAAATCGTCTTTGCTGCCCATTCTTCCCTAAGGTTGGACATTTGATAAATCAGGAAAATGCTGTGTGAGAAGAGTCTTCCAACCCCCATGTCGCTGAACACCACTGTTCTCATTAGATGGCTCCATGAGAAAGCAGTTTGTGTTCCACCCGACTTCACACCCCCCATTCTAACAGATGGGGGGTGCTGTCTGTCTGGTTTTCATTTCATTTCATTTTATGTGCATTTCTCTAAGGCTTAATGATATTGAACGTTACCATTTCCTTTTGAGTGTGCCTAACTACCTTTCAGTTGGTTCAGTGGATTCTACTTTGGGCTACTGTCAGTTCAAACCCACAAGCAGCTCGAAGGGAAAAAGAGGAGGCGATCTGCGTCTGTGAAGAGTCATCATCTCTGAACCCCTGAGGATCAGTTCTGCGCTGTCCTTCCAGGGTCACCGTGAGTCACAACTGACTCCATAACCGTGCTTACAGCTTCTCGGGTGAAATGCCCAGGCAAATCTTTTGCCTATCTTATTAGGTGCTTACTAATATCAAATAGTTAAAACATTTTCTTTTTTTTTAAATTGAGACCTTTTCAAGGTTGTTTTCTTACTGTGACAAAAGTATACAGATGACAAAATATTTGCCAGTTTTACTTTTTTCACCTTCATAATCCAGTGACATTGACTACACTTATCATGCTGTGCTAAAAGTCACCCTCATCTATTTTCAAATTAACCCACCATCAGTAACAGAAATGTAGCGTCCCTAAGCGAAGACTTCCCTTTCCTTCTCCTTCCCCTCCTGATGGCCACTGATAAACTTTGGTCTGCGTATAGTTGCCTCTTCGAGTGCGGTCCTAGGATACTTGAGGGTTTCTGTGACTGACTGACTTGAGTTCGCCTATGTTTTCAGAGGTCATCCATGTTGTCACATGCAGCAGGACTTCATTGCTCTCTCTGGCAGAGTAATTCTCTGCTGTGTGTCTTTGCATAACATTTTATTTATCCGTGCAGCTACTGATGGGCATTTTGGCCCTTCCCACTAGTTGATTATTATGAAAAGTACTGCGATAAGCATTGATGAACAGTTTTATTTATTTTTCTTATCAAAGCCATTCAAGGGGATGAGGTGGTAGGTAGCTTACCATGGTGTTAGAGTCTGTCTCCCTCATACAAGGAGCCCTGGTAGTAAAGTGGGTTACACATTGAGATGCTAACGGCAAGGTCGGCAGTTCGAACTCACTAGCTGCTCCTTAGGAAAAAGATGAGCCTTTTTGCTCCTTAGCCTCTGAAGCTCAGAAGGACAGTTCTACCCAGTCCTGTAAGCCGGAATTGACTTGGGAACAGTGAGTTGGAGTTGGAGGACCTAGAAGAAGACAACTGCCTGGAAAGCAGTTTTGCAAAGTGTATCAGAATCTTCAAAATGTGTACATGCAGTCATTCTATAAGCAGACATCACTTAATACAAATACACTCAGAAATACCCAAGGGTCTTGGGTACAAGAGGGTTGTACAGTGAACCCTCGTTTATCGCGGTTAATCGGTTCTAGACCCTACCGTGATAAATGAAATTCCGCGAAGTAGGATTCCTTATTTGTAAATAAAATATTTTCATAGTTAGAGCATAGAGGACATGAAAAAACACCCTTTAGTCACCATTACACTCGTATTACCCAATTTATTAAACGAAAAAGGGAAAATATAGTAAAACATTTTGGACGTTACAATTATCATTTATTATATTATTTATGGCATCTAGTTTACAGTATTACATATTTCACATACAGTATTATTATACATAGTTCTTACAAATACTGTAATCAACAGCCTATGAAATGACTTAAGGGATGTACTCTACAGGTGGGTCGCCGTCTTTTTCCTCTGAAGGAGCAGGTGTAGGCAGTGGGCGCTGTTACGCAAAAAACCGCGATAGAGTGAAGCCGCGGAAGTCGAAGCGCGAAGTGGCGAGGGTTCACTGTATTTGTGTTGGACATAGGAGAGAAAAGGAAGTGCAAAACAAGTGGCCTAAGTAAGTCATTTAGTCCATAACTCTGAAACACAGGATGCACAGAGGCATTGAAACTAAATGAACAATTGGTGTATTTTTAACTGTGAGGCAAACACAGATTCACAGATATGTAGAGCATCAACTGGCAGACTCAGCGACATTAAAGTAAACTCTTTCTTAGTGCTGTGCTCTTTCCTCTGAAGGGCCACCTGACACAGCACAGAGCTAGTACCTATTTGTTGAACAAATAAGCACAGAACTATTTAGGACAGGCACAGAAATTAGGGGAAAAAACACAATATTAACCTGTGTTTGACTTTTAGGTGACGTTGTGGACCATTTTTCACCGTCTTTCCATTCCCTCTGGTAAATTTTACTACTATGAGTGTACATTTGTATTTTTCCTGGTTATAAAAGCAGCTTTATACCTAAATTAAGAGCTTACCTATGGATTAGAAGGAAATTTGGTGAGCTGATCTATCTGATTAGGGTCTAATATCTAGAATATTAAAATTGAAAGAATTGGCTGTATTGAACAAAAATAAGACAACCACAAAAAAAGCCCAAAGAAACTTAATTTCACCAAAGAGGTGTCCAGCCCACGAAAGGATGCTTCACATCGTTATTTATCAGCGTTGCTATAATGCATAACGACCCCGTGTACAACAGAGAATGGGAGATGCTCTCTCAAACGGTGTTCTGTTGGTACTCATAAGGCTTTCTGTGATGATTCCCGCAGAGATGGATCACCTATTCCTTTATCTGTTCTTAGTATGGGAGCTCCTCTAAAATCTGCCCACCACGAGTGACCCTGCTGCCAGTTGAAGTAACAGTGGCATAGCTTCCAGCATCACAGCATCCAAAGATGAAAACAAGCCACTGCCATCGAGTCAGTTCTGACTTACAGCAATCTTAGTAGGGTTTGTAAGGCTATAAATCTCTAACAATAGAAATCAGGGTGTTGCCTACTACATCACCAGGGCTCCTTGCATTAGGGAGACAGAATCTAAAACCACAGTGAGCTAACCACCTCGTCCCACCCCCTTGAATGGCTATGGTAATAAAAATAAATAAAAATTCATCGGTGCTTAATGCAGCACTTTGCACAATAGTCAGTAGGTGGAAAGGACCAAACGGCTCATCAGTAGATGCATGGCTAAACGCAGCAGAGAATTACGCTGCCAGAAAGAGAAATTAAGTCCTGCTGTATGTGACATGTCTCTGTTCCACCAGGGTCTAGGTATATGTATTATCCCCAGCATTGGGTAGAAATTAGATCTGCACATAGTCCAGTCCAGTGGATCTGTGTGACGTACTTGGCTTCTTCATGTCATTCATGTGTTTGTGTGAGTTCACTGTAAACTATGAGTAAAGCCTGACGGCACAAGTTGTATCACTGGTGGGAGTGTGTGTGGGGCGGCTGACTGCTGCTCTTGTAATGTGGCTCTTTGCCCACCTCATTCTTTGTAGGCGGTAAACCCAGGGAGGTCCCTGTTCCTTCTGTATGCCCTCAAGAGCTCTCCAAGACTTGGTCTGCTATACCTCTACCTGTTCGACTACACAGACACCTTTCTACCCTTCATCCATACCATCTGCCCTCACGAAGATGACTTGGGAGAAGACATCATCTCCAAACTCCTGGTAGGTGTGCAGAATGCCTGGGACATTGTTGCCATTCCTCAGTGTGGTCTGGAACTGTAGGCTCTCGTGGAAGAGCAAACTAGAGCCAGCCTGAGTTTACACTTTGTCAGGGAGAATCCCCAGCAAAAGAAAGTGTAGGGCTTTCTACACTCCCAAAAGACTACTTTGTTTCCTGAGTTGTTTAGCAAAGGGACTGCTCTCTCGACTTGAGTTATCAAAAGAACAGCATTGCTTTTATTATAAAAGAAGCAGCATAGGTCTGTATTGCTCTATAAAGTATTTTGTTTATGGATTCCTTACTTCGTAATCTTGTCTCTTAACAGTGTTCAAAAGCTAATTATTTGCCCTCCGATGAGGCATGGTTAGGGTCTGTTCTGTCAGTTCTATGTAGTGATGACTCATTTCAGCGTACTGATGGATTGTCACATCAGCAGACCACCAAGCCGCTTTATAGGAATAGTTGCCCACTTGCCTTTGACTTTGCTTCTTCAGACTTGTCACTGAGTCCTTTCTTGTTCTAGTTGGTCAGCTGAGGGTAGTATCCTTTGCATGAAAGAGCCCTGGGAGGTGCTATAGGATAAGCATTGAGCTGCTAACCACAAGGTTGGTGTTTCAAACCCAGCAACACCTCCTTGGCAGTAAGATAAGGCTGTCAACCCCTGCAGAATGTGCAGTACTGGACACCCAATACTGGGTCACTATGAGTCTGAATTGATTCATGGATAATGTTTCTTATTTGGGTTTGGGGGAACCGTTTCTGCCAATCTGCTTGTATCAAAAAGTCACCTAAATATAAAAGAAATACCTTCTAATCTTGCCTCGTAGTGCAATTTTTTTTTGTTTTTCTTTTCTTTTTAAATTGAAAAAACTTAAACTTTGTACTCTGTTCAAAACACCCAATCACATCTTAGCCTGCCCTATAATCTGGATTTAGAGTTTGTCGTATTACTGAAGTATGCAGACAGAAGAGCAAGGTTGGTGTTCAGAAGCAAATAATTTCCCTTATTTTAATGAATTAGGCACAAACATTTTAACTTAAAAACAGTATTGGCATATCCAGTTAAATAGTTTTGACACCATTTTTATAAGCCAAACAGACATATAACTGTAAAATGTGTTTGTGGATGCAACTTCACTTGGGGGGGGGGGTGCTTTGGTGACAATGACTCAGAAAATAGTCACTTGGTATGCATTATGTACAAAGTTTTCTCTGTGAAAAAATAAGTTATTTTCAGTGCAATTCCCTGTTCACATTCCATCTGAAAACTGCACTTGAAAGGCTGTACTTGTGATATCCTCTGAAATCATGGTTAAGACAGCTTCACACTCTAATCAAGAGCCCAGCTAACTGACATCAGCCTTGAATGGGGAGTTTGATTAGCCCTCTTGCAATGTGTCCCTCTAATTATCCAGTTGTCAGTTACCTGCCCTCACCCGGCAACCCTGCCCTTTTCACAAGCCCGCAGCTCTGCCCAGGCATCAGCCTGACAGTTTTGCTTGAACATGCAGGTGCTATTCTGGGGCTGAAGTCTTCCTGCACTACCAGCAACGTGTGAGTCAGTAGGCCTTGAGCTGCCTGCCAGTAGCTTAAGTCCTTTTAATTTCTCAACGATATGCTTTTACAGTGGTCCCCCTTCTCTGTGGAGGGACATGTTCCAAGACTCCCAGTAGATTACCGAGACAATGGATAGCACTGTTGTCTTTTCCTACCCATATCTACCTACAATAGAAGAGCTGCACTTCCAAATTAGGTACAGTAAGAGTAGCAACTATAACAATTCAATAGCACAATTATAACAGTAAATATATTGTCATAAAAGTTGTATTAGGTGAACGGTGTGTAGTCATTGTGACATTAGGCTGCCATTTGTGTACAGTGAATGGCTGGGTAACTAGAACCACAGAAAGAAGCAATGGATGAAAAGGGAGGGGGGCAGATAGCTGCTGTACCAGTAAATATATAGTACAAGTTTCTTTTCCAAACATAACTTTTTTGAAACATAGTGTTTTTAAAAATTCGCCCCAAAAGATTACCGTTCTACAACAGAGAAAGTATTAAATGTAGGAGTCTTGGTGCTTAATGGTTAAGCCCTGGGTTGCTGACCGGATAGTTGGCAGTGTAAACCCCCAAGCCACTCCTCCAGAGAAAGGTGGGATAGTTTGCTTCCAGAAAAATGAGAGTCTTGGGAACCCAGCGCTATCCTAGGAGTGCTCTGCTTTGAGTCAGTTCAGTGGCAACGGATGCTGTGATGAAGGCAGTAACCCCCCAACATGCTGGTTAAGTTCACTTCAACCTTATTCATGGTTGAAGTTAGGGCTTATGTAGATTTTTACGTCTTCGTTTCCATGATTGTGTAACATGCGTCTCAGTTTGACCTTTGGGGTGACATTTATCTTTGCTACCTCAGATTCATTGTTAAGGAGTTGACAGGGGGAAATTTGCTTTTTGATTGTTGGATAATATTAAGATGAATAGTGCCCTGGGGTAACCCCAGTGTCGTGGATGAATGTCATTCCTCTTGAGCAGTTGTGTCTGTGTGTGTTGCTCCTAAAGGATCTGAGAGAACCCACGTGGAAGCAGTGGAGGGAATTCCTGGTCAAATACTCCTTCCTCCCATACCAGCTGATTGCTGAGTTTGCGTGGGACTGGCTGGAGGTTCATTACTGGACGTCACGGTTTCTCATTGTCAACGCCATGCTGCTCTCAGTTCTGGAGTTATTCTCATTCTGGAGGATCTGGTCAAGAAGTGAACTGAAGTAAGCCCTTTCTCATGTTATGATTGGTCCAGGTTGATTGGTTGTGGTGCTCATTGAACAAGTGCTTCCCTCCAATTTTATCCCTGGATGATGATTGTACCATTATAGTTCCTCGGGTATGGTGGTAAAGGCTTTTACTCTTGAAGGAGGAAGCAAGTGAGAAGTGAGATTTCTGTGGAAAGCAGCAGCATACAGCACACCCAGAGGCCTGATCACCGACTGGGACAGTAGTTACTTCTTTGGACTTGGGCATAAAATGAGAGCGTTGGACCGTCTGAGTCAGGACACTTGGCTAAAAGATATAGACCTAATCAAAACTGGTTAAAGTGAAATGCTTAGGCAAGCCTGCAAGTGTGGCTAGACCCAGAGAGCTTCCTCTCTCCCACTCACAGCTCTGTGTTGCTCAGCCTCAGCGAGTTCTCTGCAGGGAGGCCTCTTGGCCACTTAGGGGTTCCATCTGAGCAGCTTAGCAACTCAAGTGGGAAGAGAACATGCCTTCCTCCATAGCACTTGCAAGTCTCAAGGCTGACACTTCTGTGCTCTGATTGGCCCAGTCAGGGTCACATAGCCACCCAAGTGGATCCCTCCCCCAGAGGTCTACAGGATTCTGGACAAGCTCCCAGCATGTGTTCTCTCCACAAACCAGGGCCAGCTGTAGTCCTACCCAGATCACATAGGACTGAAGAGAAGGTAGGCATTTCTAGAAGATAGGGGAGACTTGCTGGGCAGGCAGAGGTGATAACCTCCACAGCACCAGATTCTGTTCGGCTTGAAACCCCTCTTACTCCCAGGACTCTCAGACAAAATTCTGAGAACCTGATAAGAGCTCCCTCTTTATTTCAATTCCACGAGCTCATTTATTTGGCAGTCACTTGAACCCAGGCAGTGCACCGATCCTCCCCTGGTCACTGGAGGTTTCTGAGAAGCCAAGCAGGCTGGACCCTTGGGGCCTACAGCCGAGCAGGGAAAATATCTGTGTTCAGAAATACCCGTGGGGTGACACACCTAGAAAGCCAGCAAGGCTAAAGCAGTGGTGGTGTGAACAGCAAGACCGCCAGTAGTGCGGAGATGAGGAGTTGTGTCCTGCGGAGCATCTGTGGGCGGGAAGCTGGTTTAATCATACTGAGGTGTGTCTCAGACCTGGGGACAGGAAGAAAAGTCCTCTGCACACAGGGACCAGATTCCGCCAAGGACTGGGCGTCATCAGGAGACGTGCCACTGCGACCCTGCCCCTGAAATGCTCTCCTCTCTTTTCAGGACGGTGCCCCAGAGGATGTGGAGCCATTTTTGGAAAGTATCAACGCAGGGGCTTTTCGTGGCCATGTTCTGGCCCCTCATTCCTCAGTTTGTTTGCAATTGTCTGTTTTACTGGGCCCTGTACTTTAACCCAATTATTAACATCGATCTTGTGGTCAAAGAGGTCCGGCGGCTGGAAACCCAAGTGTTGTGACTGGCAGTGCCCAGGCTCCAGGCACTCTTGCCAGCCCGCCTGCTGCCTGAGCTTTGATGTTAACCAAGGGTGAGGGGGAAAGTAGAATTCCTATTTTCTACCCCTAGTAAAACAAGGTGCTGCTTTGTATATTAAAGGCTAACAGCCAGGTTGTCTCACCCTCAGCTTATGGCCTGGTGACAACAGGAACTAACATACCAGAACACAGTCTGTTTGGCCAGTGAAGTGGCAGCACCTCTCACCCAGCTGCCCTCCCATAGGACTGGTGAAGTTCAACATGGACAGCTGCAAGGGCTCTTGAGGACACTGTAGCTGGCATCAGAAGGGCTGCGGGCCAGGCCCTTTGCTCCAGCTTCACCCAACAGGCTCCCAGAGTGGGCTGGGCCCAGGCTTGTTTTACAAGGCAAGTTTCGGAAAACGGGAGAAGATATTGTTGTAGGCATAGAAAATATGCACATAAAAAATACAGAGGAAACCCAAAGTTTCGTCATTTCTGTCTAAGACTTGCTTGGGGTGTCTGTGTGAAACCTCTACAGTGACACAGTGTGAGGCTGGAAGGGTGATCTCCACATGGAATCACTGGCGTTGGGATTCATTTCTTGGAGTCAAAACTGAGTAGGATGTGAGCAGTTAACAGCAGGTAATTAACACCAAAGGAGCCCTGGTGGCACCGTGGTGCTCAGCTGCTGACCAAAAGGTAGGCGGGTTTGAACCCATCCGCCAGTCTATGGGAGAAAGATGTGGAAGTCTCCCTAAAGATGCCAGCCTCGGATACCAGATGGGGCAGCTTTATTTTGTCACACTGCGTCTCTCTCAATCAAAAGCAACTCAACAGTGTTAATGTTAGGTTTAATTCACATCAGGCTCGGCTGTCTCACGACTACCATAAAATCATTTCTGTTTTAAGACTGAATCTGTAAAATAAATCCTAGGGCAGCCCTATTGTTCTATTTTATAAACTGATCTCACACTATCCATCTTCATTGCCCTGTTCTGGTGGGTGTTTACCACATACTGTGTAAACAAAAGATGACCTGAACTGTAGTCTGTTACTGCCTTCAGTGTGGAAACATCAGGTGTGAATCTGGTCTCTGAAGACTGGTCCTTTAGAGAGAAGCTTGCACCCAAGGGGGTTTTGTGACTCCCCAAGCCACTCACTAATCCTTTGTATTTTTGAATGAAGATGTCGCTCACACTTTGCATCTGAAACTTTGAAGGAATTACTTTGAGATAAAAATAAAGTTTTTTTTTTAATACAAATAAGACCTCTTAATTGTACTGGTCAGTCTTGGGTCCCTGGTCTGCTGTCATTGGCCAAGGACCCACCCTCCATGAAAGAAAGGGGGGAGAATGTGTTTGGCTCACCAGCCCCCCAAAAGCCTGGCTTTATGTGTTTAGCACATAGCTTAGTTATCTACCTAGTGCTGCTATAAAAGAAATAGCACACATGGGTGACTGAACCAATTGTACTTTCTCAGAATTTAGGCAGCTAGAAATCCAATTCAGGACACAGCCCTCAGGCAAAGCTGCCTTGTCTATCACAGATAGACTCTTTGTTTCTTGAGCTTCTGCCCCTGGTTTAATTTTCATGTGACTTGGCATCTCCTATCTCTGCTGTTTAATCTTTTCTATCTGTATAGAGATTTATTTACAATACACCCCACACTAATCCTGCCTCACTCCTATAACAAAGACAACCCAATAGGATGATAACCACAGGAAAAGTGGTTAGGATTTATAACTCATATTTTGGGGGGATAACTCTTTACAGTACACATGACCTGTCCAAAGACACAGAAGGTACGTGGGTCTGGGAACCCTGGGATGTGTAAATCCTGGTTGGTGCCTTGCAGAGATCTCTGAATTTGTGCTGTGGGGCATTAGTGGCACTAGCCTAGGCCTAGCAGGTTACCAGCCAATGCCCCACCTGCACCCCAACCCCACGTCCTGCTCCACCCTGACACCACCCTCTCCCACACCCTGCCTAAAAGATAAGCAGTCCCGGATCTGCTCTGGGCGGAGAGTTAGCCTAGAGCAAACAGCATGGGCCGGACCCTCCAGCAAGTGGGCCGTAGGTTAGTGTGAGTCCAGAGTGGAAAGTGTTTGGAAAATACTTAAACCCCTTAATCCAAATCTGGGCCAAGGAATAATACAGAAAAAGAATGGCAAGAGGAAGGGAGGACCATAGATTTATCACTCCGTTCCTTACCATGAAAATAGCTCACAGTTGAAAGTACCCCGAGATCTGAAAGTAAACCATCTACAAAATGGTATCAGGTGATGTTTAAAATGAAGTTTCCAAAGATTTTTAAACAACCTGGAGGAAGACCTATGGAAGTGGTCCCAACAACCTTTCCTGACAGTATAGGAAAGCCTGAAGCACAACCCATGCCCAGGCTGAGAATGGATATTTCCAGACTGTGCAAAGGGCTGACTTTTCTGCGTTATCTCTCTCTGAAGTTAGTCTCGGAAACCCACTGGGGCACTTCTACCCTGTCTTCCAGGGTTTCTGAGTTGACATCGACTGGGTAGCGGTGAATGAGGAGTACACTTCTTTGTACTTCTCTGACAAAAGTTTATTTGAACACGATGACTCAATAAAAATGGAAGGTGTTTGGGAATAATGCTTTCTTAGCTAACGGCCTAAAGATCCCTGGTGATACAGTGGTTCAACTGCTTGGCTGCTAACCCAAGGCAGTTCGGACCCATCACCAGCTGCTCTGCAAGAGACAGCTGTGGCCACCTACTTGCGTCGATTACAGCCGTGGAAACCGTGAGGGAGCAGGTCTCCTGTGCTATGGAGTCGCTGCGAGTGGATGGCAGCAGGGAGGCCACAGGCACCCTTCCCAAGGGCAGTAATCCTACATCTGCATCTCACAGCCTGTACTGAGGCCAGGTTCACATGAGCTCATTCATATTTGACATCTGTCATCAGGAGCAAATTAGAAAACAAAGCTCACCTTTTCATCAGGTGTTGAGTTTCAAAAATGTTACTAAACCTGGCATTATCATATACATAGATAGCTGTGGTTTCACAAAACACAACGAGGCATTTGACCTTATTAAACCAAGCACTCCAGCCCAAAGTTCCAGGATAGGAGAGAGAAAGCAAACATGAGACTTGCAGCTTCAGCACCTGGCTTCGCTTCCTTCCATCAGAGAAGTGAACACTGGTGTTGATCTCTGAGAAGGATTTATTTTCGTGTACAGGCTAGTCAGGCACACTTGGGTGAGTCCTTCTCACATAAGAAATAGGGGTAGAAAAGGTACTTTACATTGTACTCAGCCTGAGCTAAACAATGAGCAGCTTCCTGGTCACACTTGCATGTGAGTGCTTGGCATTTGTCCTCAGTAGGCCCTGGAAGAAGTGAGGAAAAGGATGTCAGAGCAGGGACTTGGCGAAACCGTGAGGGTAAAGGTGAGGGAAGTTGAAGGCAGGAGGAGTCGTAAGGTGCATTTGTGGGGCACGTTACAGCTCACCTAGTGGTTAGGAGTTGGGTTGCAGTCTGCAAGGTCAAAAGTTTTGAAAACAGCTGCTGCTCCTAAGGGAGAAAGATGGGACTTTCTACTCCTGTGAAGAGTTAGCATCTCGGAAAGTCACGGGGGCAGCTCTAGCCTGTCCTATAGGGTCACTATGAGTTGGCATCGACTCAATGGCAGTCAGTTTCGTGAGTTTTTGTTTTTTCTTCTTACAGTTTACCAGGGAACTTGGTGGTCTAGTGGATTATGGATTGAGCTGCTAACCACAAAGTCAAAGCCACTAATCACGCCTTGGAAAAGATAAGGCTGCCTGCTTCCCAGGTTTGGAGGGGGTGGGCTAGAGTTTACCAAATGATCTTAATTCTCAGGAAACCTCCAGGAGGGAGGTCTCCTTAGCCTACATTTTATAGATAAGGAAATTGAAGTTGGCAGAGAGGACCTTTCAAATGGAGAATATAAAGTTTGTATTGGTATTAGCTGAACTTTGTCCTTTTGCAGAGCTGTCTGACCTTGGCGTGGGTGAGAAAGCACGACTTGGCACAGGACAGGAAATCAATGACAACCCCCCTAGTAGTTCTCTACATCTACCTCTTAAATGAATGCCCTTAAAAATTTTTATACGTAATGCATAGTCCATCTCCACCTTTTCGCCTTGCCCATGTTATACAGAGCTGCACATTATATAAGTCTCTTTTTGGCCTGAGAATTCCTTGTTTGGAGAGTCATTATTTTAGTTTGGTAGCATTCTGTGGTCTTCAGCTGATCGCTCATTTAACCTAGAAGATACAGTGTCCTGACTGCTGTGGCTATCTCACTTCATCAGTAAGAGCCACTGCCTGTTAGTTGGGCTTTTCATTATGCATATAAATAAAAAGCCAAATACAATGAAATCCACCTAGATTTCTCCAAGAGAAAGACAAAGTAAACGTTTTGGAATGGGCCAGCTAGGCAACAGGTTTAGTAGCTATGTGTCATTAGACACATTACTTTATCCTCCTTAGAACCCAAAGTCGTAGAAAATCACATTTTAGAGAAAAATAAGGTACATGAAAAAAGAAACAGGATTTTCCCCCGCAAAGCTATGTACTTAATTTTTTTACAAAACAACCTTATCCCCTTCAAAGTACTCTCCAGTACACTTAATACTTTGTCAAATCTGCAATTCCATTCTTGGAAACATTTTTCAAACTCATCTGTTTGGATGACTGTCAGCATCTCCCTCGTTTTTTTCTTCACCTCTTCTATATTGTCAAATCACTGTCCTTTCATGTC